TGTTCCCTAGACTTCTTCTCCTTCTCGCCTTTTTCCTCCCTCGCAAGAGGTAAGGAACAATTGATTGTGATGGATTTAACTCTATTATATGGCTTCTGTGATTTTAGATTCCGTGTCCATGTCCTGCTTCCCTTATTCTTAACTTCTGTTTGTAATTTTATTTGTTTGCTACAATTCAAAATTGCAATTTTGTGAAAAATATGGATAATTTTTACTATGATTTCAGATTCCGTGTCCATGTCCTGCTTCCCTTATTCTTAACTTCTGTTTGTAATTTTATTTGTTTGCTACAATTCAAAATTGCAAGTTTGTGAAAAATATGGATAATTTTTACTAGGTCTTACAATCGCACTTTTCTTCCTTGTGGTTGGTACCTTTTTAGCTATTGTGGTTTATCTTTTGGCAAATTCAAGTCTTTGAATGAGCTCAATTTGTGCATTTTGAATGATTTGTTGAGGAAGATTTAGTTTTCTCTATGTTCTTGCTCATTTGGTCTCCCAACGTTACCTGTGTATACGTAATCACGAGCATATGTAGGATTTTTCTTTAAGCTTAATTTTGCAATTTTTTAGTTCTTTGTTTTGTTCCTTTGTGTTTTAGCATTCCTTAATTCCAACTCCAACATTTATTTTGAACTTCCTTGATGAAATGAATCCTAGAAATGGTGTTCAGTTTTTAGGTTCCATGAGAAACCCAGGATGATGAAAAGGATGGTGAAGATGATGATGTCAAGGAAGCGGTATTCATGTGTGCATAAAAAATTGGGTGGTGCTATATAGACATCCTTTTTGTGCCACCTTTTTATACAATTTTCACATGTCATTAAATGAGTGGATGCATTCAATATTACGGGTTCCACATAAATTAAAAGAATTAATCATTTTAATGACACGTCATGTTGTACAAAAAGGTGAGATAAAAAGGTTGTCCCAAAAGGTGAGATAAAAAGGTTGTCCCAATATCATTTCCTCAAAAAATTATGCCATATCATCAAAAAAGTATCCACATTAGATTAATAACGCCACATAATAGCCACATCACTATTTGAATACCACGTATTACATTTTTTTAACCGTCATTAATGTCTCTGTGATGGTCTGTTAAAATATTGAGTTTTTTACGGGTTTGAAAAAGTGGAGGATGTTGATCAGGAGGAAAATATTTGGAAAGTGTTGACCTCGAAAAGAAAATAAATTGACGGTGCAAATAAGTGCTTTGACCTCAACTAAAGGCCACAACAAAGTTTTGATTTTAGTTCCTTTACATAAAAGATATATTTATTGAATAGCCATAATTTAAATTTTGAAAAAAGAAACTGTACATACTAAAATTTAAAATTTTTAAAAGTTCAGGGGCGCTCGTCCCCTTGCTCCCCCATTTCTCCCTCTACTGGCTTTATAAGTCCTAACCTAGATAGCTTGGCAAGTAGGAACCATATTTGGTGAGGGCTTTTGTCAGTCAGATCAAAGTGATTAGTTCTATCTAAGTTATTTTTAAATTATCTGAACTAGTTAGGGACTACTATGTGGACAATAAGTATTTAATTAGTATTACATGTCATGGATATGGTAAAAATGCAGCTCCAATCCAGCTGCATTTTACATAAATAAAATGTGGAGAAAGTAA